CAACGTGCCCACACATCATTTGTTCATCGATTTCAAATCCGCATACGACACAATCGATCGAGATCAGCTATGGCAGATTATGCACGAGTACGGATTTCCGGATAAACTGACGCGATTGGTCAAGGCGACGATGGATCGAGTGACGTGCGTTGTTCGAGTATCGGGGACACTCTCGAGTCCCTTTGAATCTCGAAGGGGGTTACGGCAGGGTGATGGACTTTCGTGTCTGCTGATCAACATCGCGTTAGAAGGTGTGATCAGAAGAGCTGGGATAGACACGAGTGGCACGATATTCAGGAAGTCCATCCAGCTCCTTGGTTTCGCCGATGACATTGACATTATGGCACGGAACTTTGAGATGATGGCGGAAACGTACATCAGACTGAAGGCTGAAGCTAGACGGATTGGACTTGCCATCAACGCATCAAAGACAAAATATATGAAAGCAAGAGGTTCTAGGGAAGACAATGTTAGCCTCCCACCCCGAGTTCAGATTGACGGTGACGAAATCGAGGTGGTCGATGAGTTCGTGTATTTGGGCTCACTGGTGACCGCCGAAAATGATACCAGCAGAGAAATTCAAAGACGCATTATGGCAGGGAATCGTGCCTACTTTGGACTCCGGAGGACGCTCCGGTCGAATAAAATTCGCCGCCGCACGAAGTTGACTGTCTACAAGACGCTGATTAGACCGGTGGTCCTTTACGGCCACGAGACCTGGACTATGCTCGTGGAGGACCAACGCGCCATTGGTGTTTTCGAACGGAAGGTGTTGCGTACCATCTACGGTGGAGTGCAGATGGATGACGGAACGTGGAGGAGGCGAATGAACCACGAATTGCACCAGCTGCTGGGAGAACCATCCATCGTCCACATTGCAAAAATTGGGCGACTACGGTGGGCTGGGCACGTCGTAAGAATGCCGCACGACGACCCAGTGAAAATGGTTCTAGAAAGCGACCCAACAGGAACAAGAAGAAGAGGCGCGCAGCGGGCAAGGTGGATCGACCAAGTAGAAGGTGACCTGCGGACCCTTCGCAGACTACGAGGCTGGCGAACTGTGGCCATGGATCGAGTAGAGTGGAGACGACTTCTTCGGACAGCAGAGGACAACAAGGCCTTAGCCTGATTGGTAAGGTAAGTAAGCTAGTGTGAATCCGAAATAAAAATTTGATAGCATCCTTGAAGTTCCGGGAAAGTTAAAAAACTGGCGCGAGAAGATGAAAGAATCATTCGAGCGAAGGCTGAAGAAGCTTCCAAGGTAAGGTGGAATAAAATTCCAGGGAAAGCTGGATGAAACTTAAGGAAGTTATTATTTAAAAAATATTTCTCGATTCCCTAGGAATTACCGGAAAGAGCCATCAAATATTTCTCGATTGATGGGTGGCCAAAAACGGTGAGGAAATGCAAACATTAATCGAAAGATTATCAAGCATAAGGCATCTTTAGAGATGATTGTTTAGAACTTTGAAGGCTCAAAAAATATGAAGTATTCAAAAAGATACAACTCTCTCACAAAAATTTCTCCGAAACTCGAGCGCGAAAAGGCAATAATAATTTTGATTATTAAAAAAAAAAATGATATAAATCGGTGTATTTTTTTGCGTTTATTTATAAGCCCCCCTCGCCTATTAGGCATTGCTTCGGCCGATAACCATTATTACCAATTAGAACCCTTCCCGCTTTTATTTTTCAAATAAAACGTATTATTCCCTATTTGATAAATTGCATTATTTTCATCTAAACGATCTGTTTGCTGACCAGTCTTCTGGGTGCACTGATCAGCACGAACTTTATTTTTTTCGTTCTCCTTGTGTTTCGACAGCCGGCGTTTGTTGGTATTTTCGAAGAGATTCTTTGTTGCGTTCGATGAGCTGTGCTAGAATTTTCGTCGTTACTTTCAACGTTTGAAGTGTGATGAACCACGGTGTTTCGCTGTTGTTCTTCTGCTGAGAACCCGGTGAAAGCAGGAGATGATTGACCCGATGTCGTTGGCTGGTTTTGTTCGATATCAATCGACGGGAAATCAGCGAGACTGAATACTAGCCTGATGCAAAATTTGACTTTTTCTCTCCACAGTGCTTAAATGGTTTCAATTCGGGTCCTGATTAGCCTCCCAAAGTTACAACTCATTTGGTTAGAAACAGTCTTCGCACAAGCCATTTGAAGTGTACATGTAAATTACTATAGGAAATCTTAACTTTTTGTTCATTGCCTTCTAGTCTTTTTCCATATTGAGCTGCGGAACAGTTCGATAGCCATTCTTATAGAAAATTTTCTCAGCTACAACTTTGCTCAAGATTGTTTCTATTTAAAACGAGATAGGAAAAAGTTATTAATTATTTAAGAGATTGGTAAACTTATGACATGATCAAGCAGCTGCTCTGTAGGCAACACTGTATTTTGCAGTGTGACATAGTAGCCATGATTTTTGTGTCCTATTCAACACCCCAGAAACACCAATGTTGCCTGCTGAGCAGTTGATTGAGCATGATCATAAGACATCAGCGCATTGAAATATTGATAACTTTCGATCCTTAATTTAATCTGTTCTTCAGCAAAGTTGTAGCTGGAAAAATTTCCTACAAGTACAGTTGAAAGCTTTTGAAGCAGACCGATATGGTGAATTATTAAATAGACATGAACAAAAATCTTGGTTTTACCATAGTAATTTCCATACAAACTTCAAATGGTTTGTGCCTTCTCAGTTTCTCAAATTTTAAGAGGTTAGTCAGGATCCGATTTGGAATCGTTTAAGTATTGTGGAGCGAAAATTTCAAATTTTGCATCACTCTACTGAATACCCCCTCGGTTGGTGGAGCTGCTGGAGCGGTGCTATTGTTCGATGTGGCTACATCCAAACATTTCTGTTTGGGATGTGCTGCTCAACCACAATGGCGGCACGTTTTTGGCGGCACGCTTGTCGCACGTTACCAACTTTGTTTCGTTGTCGACCGTGATGTACAATGAAATGGCGCTTTCGAGTCGCATTCGCAAGACTCGAACACCGCTCAGGAATCCTGGGAAGTAGTGCTTCCATTTCTCACGTCGACTGGAAATCACTGTCCCGTACTTTCCATGTGGTTCATAACAGCGGCTTGTGGCCATGCCAGAGGAAGGTCATGCACTCGAATGGTCACTGCTTCACAATTCACATATATCGGGATTTTGAACTCACTTTTCGCACAGAGAATCGCGTGTTTATAGTTGTGCGCCTTTTCATAGCGCAAGGCAACTTCATTGTCTATCATCTAAAAAAAAAAAAATTCGGACGTTATGAAACTGAATGCATCTAACGTCCGAATATTGAAGCTGAATATTGTTCTCGAAGAATTTTTGCACTTTTCTTGCATTGGGACGAACTGGAAGGACACTGAAGTCAACAACAAGTGTGTTTTTTTTTCTGTTCACCAGGTTAAGCAGAGCAGAAAGAGCATACGTCCGATGAATACGAGTAATGGCTGTCGAATGTATAAATCGGTGTAAAATCTTAAAAATCTGTATTCTTAAGAACCTTATCTGTATATCGGTATCTAGTTTGGAAATCGGTATAAATACCGATAAATCGGTATATCTGGCAACGCTGATCTCGATATCAGAATCCATGCATCAAGTTTTCACTGGAAATAATATTTGAGACACTTGAGACACTGTACACTTCAATTTTTTTACCGACTTCGGTAATTGTTTACCGAACTTTCAACAGCTGTTCGGTAAATCTTTGACAGTTATTTCAAAAGCTGTTTCACTCAATTTTAATTTCAACCCACTGTCAGCCTTGTACAAATAATCGAGTCTTGCCATTGTGGTGAAGTTTTTCCTGGTTTGAAGCTTTAAAACGAATGAATTACATTGGCTAAATTTACCGAACAGTATCTGTTGAACGTTTGATAAAAACATGATGTAAATGCTATGTTCAAATTGATGTAAATATGTTCACAGACACAATTTTGACAAACCCATAGTTAAAAATCGGACGGTCAACTACAAAGTGATTTTTGAACGTTTTAATTGATTTCCGAAGAGTAAATTTTAAGCGCAATTTCACCAATTAAAGCACTACTTAATGTCGCATCGACCCCAGTTTTAATATAAACTACAATTTTAACAAATTGAAAAATCATACAAATTACAAATAAATTTCAGATCAAAGCACAAAACTGACATCTGCCGCCGTATTCGCGGAAAATATTTATCCTAGCCACGAACACGCGTACAAAATTTATTTGTTGGTTCGTGTCTAATCTATTTCGGACAAATTATTTTCATCTAGATAAAACATTTCTATAGATTTGACAGATGGGATCGTTGCACATTTGAATCGGTCGTTATGGATTCTCGATCAAGAGTTAAGTGTAAGTTTCATGTCGGTTTGTCGGTGACTGACTTGCGATTACATTTAACGTCAATGAGTAAAATAATCGCAAGTAAGTCACAATTCCATGACGATGCTGCATTACTTTAGCACAGTATTGAACAGTAAAAAGATACCATGGTCCCATAGAACGTTATTGAATGTTTCTGGATTTGTTCCGCTGGTTCAAGAGCAATGGCCGAAACATATTCCGGTGAGTATGGGTCTTCATCAGACCAGAGCTTTTCGTAAACGTGCCAAACCCACCATGCGATAAATCAATTCATGATGCGATGTGTTGTCTAATATTTCTAACATATTTTTTTCTAATGGGACTGACTTGCGGCTACTTTTTGCTGGGGCAATTTGACTTGGTATTGTTTTTCATTTTTCTTGAACAAACCACCTTTTTTCAATATCACATCAAATTGATAAAAATGCAGATGGGACTGACTTGCGATTACCGGCAAAGTTATCGTTCAGTAAACACATGTTTTTATACAGTCCACCGACTCTTTTTCGCGCTGAGCAATCCGAACGAACAATAATGTTAACTCGACCACACGGTTGTCAAAACATGATAATAACGCTTATATCAAAATATCAAATTTTGTTTTCATTCGTTAACTGTTTTGCGAATTCATAGATGAAATTTCAGGATCCTGGCGGCAAATCGAAAGACATTGCATCCGAAGATGTATATCTTGGAAATGGAATCAAAATCAAACAAGAATGTCCAGAAGAAGAGGAGGACACCTTCATCGAATCTCAGAGTACAACGGAATGTTCGGTATGTCGTGGAGATAGCAGCGATCGAAACGAGCCCCCTTTACGTCATGAAGCTGATGATCAGTTCAGTCCGTGTTCAAGTTGTGGGCATATCTTTGCCACCAGAAAAAGAATGAAGTATCACATGGTTGGTATCAAGAGTAATACTCGGTTGAGAGCTTGCAGAATTTAAATGTTTTGTTTTACAGGTCGTAATTCCCACAGAACCATGACAAAGTTGTTCAAAGAGCTTTCATCTCGTCTGCAACGACGCAGAATCACACCGACATCCCCGAAGAAATTTAATTAAATATAGTATTATAACAGCTCCCTTCCTCAGAGCGGCAAGGTAATTTAGATTTAGGGCGAGTGAGTTAAGTAACATACATTAATAACTAATGGTCTATTCTGACAATTTTCAGAAAGAAAAACACATTGTACCTCGTTTTAAGCGTCCTCGCATCGATATCCATTAAGAAGCCGCACTCTTGGCAAGAAATACAGGACGATATGGTGAAAAGCGGAAAATTATTTGGTAAGAATACGCAAGATTTTGATACACTTGATGATTTAAGTCGATAATTGTGGTCCCCCAATGGAAACGCCCTTTGCACTATTAGGTATCGCATTTTTTTAATAGAATAACAAACAATTGGTCAAATTAAAGGCATTAATAAACAAATAATTTGTATAATTTGGGCAAACATATTCATGAATCGTATTGAGTTTGTATGTATTGTGAAAATCCTTCCAGAAGTTTCAATAATCGAAACCACCTTCAGTTTCAGTTGATAATGAAGTAAATTTACTCTCTCTACTTGGATTTGACGCGTTTTTTTGTTAACTCTTTATTTGTTCCAAGTTCAAATTAAATTACATTTCTTTTTAACCTAGGTGCTCCAGCTACAACAGTAACTTACCAGCCTTAAATGTTATGATATATGCACAGACAAACAGACATAACTCTCGCAAGTTATTCATCGAACAAGCATTTAACGGACAATTTAAAAGTATCGCAGTTGGTAGTACCGCCACCTGTGGCGCGCATAGCCAATTCCTTTACGTTTGACGTTTACACACTATCGCCATCTGTTCAGTGTAGTGCCCACCACAGTGTACTCAACAGATGGCGGTAATGTTTTAGTGACGATGTTTTACAGTGAGAAATATTCAATGTGTTATGTCTGTTTGTCTGTGATATATGTGTGTTTTTACATTGTTCCTGCCTTGGCAATTCAGTATTTTAAATAGGTATTTAAACTTATAAAGTAAAACTAAGTCTTATCTAAGTAAAAAAGAAATTAATCATTGAAATTGCGTAACTATACAAATCGACGTATCTGATTTTGTGAAAAATCTCTTGTCTTAACTGCTAGCCTGATTTGTCTTAACTGCTAGCTCACCCACGCAAACAAACACCATCATCAAGTAGGGAAATATTTTCCCTACTAGCTGGTGTTGTTAGTTTCTGTGAGTGAGCTAGCAGTTGCCACAAATCGTCGATTGAAGCGACTGTTTACAAATGTAGATACGACGATTTGAATAGTTACGCTTGATATGTTCAGCATTAATGAACAAAGTGTGAAAAGTTGTGCCGTACCTTGAACAGCACATTTTTACGAGAGTTCACTAACTAAAACCATTGAAAGGTGAGAAAATAACTTACTCTTTTAAGATCAGGCAATACTTCTCATGAAAGATGTTTTTTTGAAAATAGTCCATTTTACAAAATGGTAGCAGTTATTTAGTCTGACAACTAATCAAATTGATGTTGTTTCTCGTAATGGTTAGGTTAGTACCTTCTGTAATTCTTATGCCGCGGATACAATTGGACTATGAGCATGAGCATTATTTGTGTAATAGTTATGAGGACTATACAACAACTATACAACAACTATGCAAGTTCGACTATGGATGTGCTCATAACTTATTATACAAATAATGGTCATGTTCATAGTTTGTCGTACAAGTGTATCCGCAGCATTAGAATGAAAAAAAAAACTACAAAAGACAGCCCTATGAGGTTGTACGCAATGGTGACGTAGGACTACGTGGTCTTATATAATAAATCTTATTTGTTAGCTGCAGCAAGAGCTTGTGTTTTGTGTAGGAATAGGAATTTGAGCGGGGCTCTTTATGTTTATACACTTTAGTATGACGCGCTTGATAAAGATGGTCCACAGAAACTCACGAAGAGCTACTGATTCCGATCAATAGCGGGGGTGGCTTCTTCCTCCTTCTATGGATGCTCATGTGGGCTGCAGCTAACTGCTTGCATGAAGCCTTTCGTTCTGTACTGGAGAACACCACCATTCACCACCCGGTGATTGAATAAACACCGTTTGGTGAGACCGGATGGAATTCAACTTTGAAATCTGTGTTGGGGAAATTGCTTTTCGCTGTTAGGGAAATCGCTTGAGGGAAATCGTTTGAGGGAAATCGCTTTCGGTGATAATTTTAATTATCAAAGCAACAGTTGCACATTCGCTCAAATTTTCAATATTGACATTTTGAAAAATGATAAAGTCTTTAACAGATTCATAGAAAAAACTCCTATCGATTGGCGTATTAAGAATCAAAATGCATCATCTCTGGATCAAAATCAGACCATTTTCATGCCACGACCGACTTTGGTGTTTGAAATCGCACCCCCAATGTTGCCTTAAGTTGAGATTTAAACATATCTAGATAGAGCTGGAATTAGGCGTAACAGCTTTTGTAAACAATGCCATACAACTGATGAATACAAAGTCAGAACATTTTGAATTTTATACATAGCATCATCAAGGTAGCTTACCTCATTCCTCGTTCTGCTAGCGAATGAGCAACATCAGGGTCTGTTGTCTCGTCACAAGGCATAGCTTTGAAAGTGTTTTTTTCACCGCGAAACATTATTTTCCGCAAAAAGTTTTTGTGCCTCAGGTGACTCGCGCATTTCTGGAGGAAGCAGCCGATCCTGGCGAAGCCTACGGTCGGACTGTCCACCTTTAAAACCCGCTTCGACGATATCGAAATTCGGCATACGGCAAAACACACGGACGGTGTGTACAACTGGAAACTATAACCAGCAGAAAGCAGTGAGCCACCGCACGGACGGTGTGTACGACCGGCATCTATTGTGGCAGAGCAGCAACAATATAAGCAGTAGAAACGGTAAGGGCAAATAATAGCACGTATCTGTTTTTTGTATACCCATTCCTCTGACTGTTTGCTTGTGAATCGTCTGTCTCTCCCCCAGTGGAATCGTTCCACATAGGGTGGTTCTTTAATAAAAAAATAATTACTTCTTAACGAAAGTTTTCATTTTCAATTTCGTATGGATGAAGGACAGGGGGGCGTCAAGCCTCCCAATGATAAAGTAAGAAAGCGTCATTACCAGGCGTCTTCTGCTTCGCCTTGGGTTGTCTACTTTCGGCAGAAAGAGAAAGCCCTAAACTTCTTAGGGATTAAAAGAACGTTGACGCGTCGTTTCCCGGGGACCGAATTTCATCAGGTCAATCGGAACAAACTGCGTATAACTGCACTCACATATAAAGTCGCAAATGACATTGCTGACGACGAAGGTTATAATGAAGAGTATTACGTCTACATCCCATCTCGAGATGTGGAGATAGACGGCGTGGTCTCTGCAGTGAGCCTGACGTGTGATGACGTCATGGAAGGTATGGGGCGCCTTCAAAATGCTGCAACATCTACCGTGGACGTTCTGGGTTGCAGGATATTGTATTCAGCGACCACGGTAGATGGTCAAAAGACTTATTCCCCTTCAGGCTCACTACAGGTGTCTTTCGCTGGATCGGTTCTCCCAAAGTTTTTAGAAATTGAAAATGTTTTTTTCCCGGTGCGACTTTTTGTACCAAGGGTATATAATTGTACCAACTGCAAAAAGTTGGGACACACAGCTGCTTTTTGTGACAACAAGCCCCGTTGTGGCAAATGTAGCCAAGACCACATGGAGGGTGCTTGCCAACAGGAAGCAACTAAATGTGCTTACTGTGGCAAAGAACCTCTTCATGCTTTGCAGGACTGCCCCGCGTACAAGAAGCGTGCCAACAATGTGAAGCGTTCAATAAAAGAACGCTCCAAGCTGACGTTTGCAGAAATGGTTAAGTTGCAAAATGGATCCTCTGTTTCGTTGGCATCAGCCGCTCAAAATGAAAACACTTTTGAGATTTTGTCTTCCGATGAACTGGACTCTGACATAGCAGATGAGAGTGAGTCTCCGGAGGTACACGCCCCCGGTAAAAGGAAGCCGACTAGCTCCCCGGGAGTGCGCCGGAAAAAAAATAAAACCACTCTCAGAAGCATGCAAAAATCTGAAGGTAGCGGGGATTCATTGAAAAAGCCGAACAAATCGGTAATTGCTGCTCCATCTGATCCTTGCTGCAGCTTTTCCACCCCGCCGCTACCTAATAAAGGTAATCGTAAGAGGTTACCAAAAATAAACACCACGTCTACTCGCAATTCAAAGAAAACTCTCCCGTCCAAGCGAGGAAAGATTAAATTTAAGGACATTGTGGATAACATTTTGAATGCCCTCGGCTTTCTCGACGAATCGCCACTTCGAGGGCTTATTGACCTGCTTGTTCCTATAGTCGGAAACTACTTCAAGCAATTGACTGCATCATGGCCCCTCATTGGTGAATTCATATCTTTCGATGGATAATTCGTCGAGTGAGGATCAAGATATGATCACTTTATTACAATGGAACTGTCGTAGTTTAATACCTAAATTAGACTCGTTCAAGTATTTGATTCACAATTCTGATTGTGATATATTTGCACTCTGTGAAACTTGGCTTTCTTCTGAAGATGAACTAAACTTCCACGATTTTAACATTATCCGCCTGGACCGAGATGATTCATATGGTGGCGTACTTTTGGGGATCAAAAAGTGCTACTCCTTCTATAAAATCTCAATCCCAATACTTTCAGGCATTGAAATTGTCGCTTGCCAAATAAATGTGAAGAACAAAGATCTTTGCATAGCTTCTGTATATGTCCCTCCTAGGACTTCCATAAACCGCCGTCAGCTTTGGAGTTCAGTTAATATCCTTCCATCTCCAGTTCTAATACTGGGCGATATGAACTCACACGGTACTGGTTGGGGCGAATCATACGATGACAATAGAGCGGGTATTTTCTATGATTTGTGCGACGATTTCAACTTGACTATCTTGAACACTGGTGAAGCAACACGTATAGCAAACCCTCCTGCTCGAGAGAGCCGTCTTGACATTTCTTTGTGCTCTAACTCACTATCATTAGATTGTCTGTGGAAGGTTATCAATGATCCCCATGGTAGTGATCACTTGCCAATTATTATTTCAATCAAAAGTGGTCGTCTAA